TGTATATTTGTATATATTCTAAGTATCCTTTTTAAGTGTACATTTGTATATATTTCATGTATCCTTTTTAAGTGTACATTTTGTATATATTTCAATGTATCCCTTTTTAAGTGTACATTTTGTATATATTTCATGTATTCCCTTTTTAAGTGTACATTTTGTATATATTTCATGTATTCCCTTTTTAAGTGTACATTTTGTATATATTTCATGTATTCCCTTTTTAAGTGTACATTTTGTATATATTTCATGTATTCCCTTTTTAAGTGTACATTTTGCATATATTTCATGTATTCCCTTTTTAAGTGTATATTTTGTATATATTTCATGTATTCCCTTTTTAAGTGTACATTTTGTATATATTTCACGTATTCACTTTTTAAGTGTACATTTTGTATATATTTCACGTATTCACTTTTTAAGTGTACATTTTGTATATATTTCATGTATTCCCTTTTTAAGTGTACATTTTGTATATATTTCATGTATTCCCTTTTTAAGCGTACATTTTGTATATATTTCATGTATTCCCTTTTTAAGTGTACATTTTGTATTCTATATGTGTCTCTGTGTTTGAGGGTGAATGTTGTAAATTTATAGGCACCTATGAATTTTGTCTCTTATTTTTTTGCTTTATTTGTATCCTTTTGTTGAAGGGTATCTTGTCAACTTGTGCATATCCAAGTGCAATAAATTTCGTTTTTTATACATTTTAACTTGAGTCTGTAAATGGTTATTTTAACATATTACATATGATTTTCTTAAAATATGATCTGATTATGTTTTTAGTAAAATAGATTATTTCATACTACGATTTTCTGTACTATATATGACTTATGACAAATATAGTTACTTATAATCATGCTTCGTCAGCTTGGAAAAGGCATAAACACCATAACAACCTCTGTTGTAGCAAATGGCGTACATAAATAGTGTTCCGACCACTACTGTGCTTGTTGTGTCCCAGCTGGCCTGCTGAGCTTTTGATCAAACAAAACGTGTCGTTGACAATGGCTATGGCGAACATAAATGTAATTGAAATATTATTATTATACACTCTACTAATTCTTGAAAATATGTAATGGACTACATAAAGAATATAGTGTTGAAAATATAACAGGCCCAATAGAATGTCTTATGACAAGTGTAATTAATTACAATCATGTTTCGCTAACACGGAAAAGGCGTTTTCACCATAACAATTGTTATTTCATACATTCGTTTTATGATAATAAAAACCGGGTTTCGACACAGCAGATATAGCTCATTTTGTAGCTTTGTGCTTAACAACAAATAAACCAACGAAATATATTCTTTTATTGTGAAACAGTAAAGAGTTTCAGCTCTCTATTTGTTTTCTTTAGTAAGATTCTTTTATAAGAATCTAGAAAGAAAATGTATGTTTTAATGTTACTTTTCGAGATTTTATTTCTTAAAAAGATTACAGATAGTAACGAACACCTGAAACAAATGACAACTACTATAAGCACGAGTAAAGAACAAAAAATAAAATGCTGTTTGAGTTCACTTAGAGAAATAAAATATTTTCTGTTTGAAAGGATTTTATTTAAAGTACAGTGACGTACAAAATCTAGATATCAAACAAGTCCCTTTATATTCAAGCAGTTTTATTTATTTGTTTTGAAACTTTGTTTTTATGTTAGGAATGTGAAACGCTTTGTTAAGATTAAACTTTATTGTTGTAAAGTTTTATTTATGTCACAATTTTATGGTTACTTTCTCCCTTGTTACATGTTATTGTTAATATCATAAAGTAAAAACAAAATACGTTTTTATTATTTATTCAAGCTCAGTAGCAACGCATACTATTTTGTTAATAAAACGTGGAAATATTCGTATACAACAAAAGCTATTATGAAAATATGAAATAGATGATGTCTCTCTCTTATAATTTTGAATAGTGGAATACATAAAATTTTTAACATATTGAAATTCTTGTGATAGTACACAAATATAAAAAAAAATTCAAATTCATAAATACTGAATCCAGTAAACTATGAGATAAGTAATTTTCTTTTGTTTCTGATTGTGAATGAACTTTACTGAATGCTAAACATAAGAACATACTTTTTAAAACAGTCTATGTTAAAACTTATAAACATTTTCAAAATGACTACATGTGATATTAGAAATGATCAGGGAAACTTTGTGAATATTTTAAAAACTAATCGTTCCATATTTTTTTTCAACAAAATACCATTAAGAAAGGCAACGCCGCATATGAGTGAACAATATAGCATACACAAAACTTCATGATGAGATGTCAGTCGTTCCTTGACTACAGTCTCAACACCAGTGTGGAAGGAAGCAATGAGTATCTGGTTTCTTCAGACTGCTTTTTTTTCTAACTCAATAACTAAAAACATAATAGAGGAAAGACAATTTATTAGTGTAACTATTCGGAAATAGAGTGTTTATTTTTTTTATAACAAAGCCATCTCGGGCTATCTGCTGTGTCCACCGAAGGAAATCGAACCTCTGATTTTAGCATTTAAATCCGTAGACTTACCGCTCTCCCAGCGGGAGCTCGGAAATAGATGTTTGTTTTGTAATTAAGTACAAAGCTACACAATGGGCTATCTGTGCTTTGCCCACCACGGGTATCGAAACCTGATAAATTTTTGAACATTACATCCTATATCTTAGTTTGTTTTTTCCCAAGAAGAAGAAAATAAAATCATTGTATTTTAACCAAGCTATGTCTGCCATATCCATTGTTTATATAAATAGCGTTCTGACCATAACTATTCTTTCCTATCCTTAACCAAGCTATGTCTGCCATATCCATTGTTTATATAAATAGCGTTCTGACCACAACTATTCTTTCCTATCCTAGTCCACCTGATGAACACTATATTGAACCATTGTATTTTAACCAAGCTATGTCTGCCATATCCATTGTTTATATAAATAGCGTTCTGACCACAACTATTCTTTCCTATCCTAGTCCACCTGATGAACACTATATTGAACGATTGTATTTTAACCAAGCTATGTCTGCCATATCCATTGTTTATATAAATAGCGTTCTGACCATAACTATTCTTTCCTATCCTAGTCCACCTGATGAACACTATATTGAACGAAATGAGTCCTTAGTAAAATGATTTAAATCAAATTAAAAATTGTAAGTTTAACGACTAATTAGTGGGAGATCGGTAAGCTTACTGGTTTACAACGCTAAAACCCGGGGTACGATTCCTCACGGTGGACACAGCAGATAGTTTAATGTGGCTTTGCTCTAAAACAAACATTTCCCCTTAAATTCCACATAGTTTCAACTGTTTTTAAGACATTACTTTACCGCACAAAGTGATTATTTACAATGAGTTAATCTTCAATTGATTTGTTATTAACGTAGAACATACAGATAAACAGTTCTTATTTTCACATCACAATACTTTGGATTTGCCACATGAATAAGTGAATATCTAGTCATAATTTTGTAGTTTAAAAGTTTCTGTTTTAAAGAAGTAATTACTTTCAATAAAATTTAAATGGAAATTGTTTCCTGCAACCAGCCCTTGAACGAGACCAAGAAAGTATCTATTTGAGTGAAATGTCGTGATTATTCTAACTTAAAACTGTTCCAACTCTTACTCCACGCTTTACAATATTTTCACCAAAAAAGAACATCTGTGTTTCGGACCATAACTTACTTTCCTTTGTAGGAAGTTCGTTTTTTTCCCGTGTTTCTGCGTGCTTCAGATTTGAAGTATCATAGGACTGGATTCCTTTCAACAGTTCCTGTTGTCCTCTCTCCTGCTTAATTTCTGCTCGTAAATAAACAAAAACATAAAATGTAGTTATGGGATAATAAGCTTGCATTTTAGCCGAGGTTAGTCACAAATAATCTAATTTGTTGGATGACTAGAACACGTTTTTTGTTCGACACCAACTTCTTTACTTATGGAAATATTCATTCTGTAGTTAGTATTTTCAGATGATCTGTTTTAGAAGGGTAGGTATCTTCAATTTCAGCTTTATGACGTATGGTGTAAATAAACGACACAGAAAAACAATTTTTACGTTAGCTTTGTATTTACCACTTCGCAGTTCCTCAGAATCTCGCTTAAAACATGCGAAATTATCTGTAAGTGCAGTCATTCAAATAATTTCAAATGCTCGACACAAAGTTAGTCTAAGATGCTTTTCCGAAAAGGTGCTATCAATTTTGTTAGAGTAAAAAAAAAAACAGGATTCGTTAGGGTTAAGCAGGCACGTTCTAAAGATTCCTTGTCATGTTATTGCACTAATGGTTGTCCAACACACACAGAGCTTTCAATCCATGGACTACATGCGCTGGTTTTTATAATCTCAATACCTTCTTTCGTGGGGAGTACAATCTTTTCTTCTGTTTGTGTATGCTTTAACACATTCCGATTAAAATTTTCAACATCTGCAATCAGCTCTTGATGAACTTTTTCTTGTTTGATATCTGAAGTTGGAGAAACAGAAATTTTAACCTAACATTGGCAGTCATATAGATCCATTAAGAATGATTACAATCAATAAGAAATAAAGAAAGTAAATTACATGTTGCTATGCATTACGATACGTTGAAAACAAGACATAAAAGATATTTGTGCTGGAAAAAAGTTCGCAAGATTTTTCAAGAATAAACTATATATAGTTAAGATACTTTATGTATGACAATCCATTAACTGCTTACAAATATAGATGCTTACAATGAAACTCGCGCTTAAAATTCTTAGAAAATATCAATATTTGTTTCGTCTCTCGACAGGAATAAATAAACAAACGTAAAACACACCTAGCGATACCAAGATTACTTTCATGCTGTTGCTTATTCATGCACGCACACGATTTGCTAGTGTTTATTCAAAATTAATTAATATAAAAGTTAAAAGATATGATGAAACAAAACATCTAAATACAGCTTTAACTACGACTTTCTTATTCTTTTGAGTTTTTATTTCCAATTTATTTGTTGACCAAACGTACTTTATATACCAATATTCAGGCCCAGTCACGAAGAAATAATACATTTTTGTCACTCACGTATTTGATATGTGACTTATTTCATTTTCATAATGTAACTACTACGACAAACATGAAGTAAAAAAAAAGTCGTATTAAATACGTCATAAGTACGTTTATTTATTCATGAATGGCGACTGAAGTTTGGTATATAAATTTTTAATTTAGTGTATCGAATCGAAAACCAAACTGGAAACAGAAAAGTTTTGAGAAGAAGGGAGACTTTAAATACAACTTAGTTTAAGTAGTTTGTGATTTTGTATGGCTTAAGCTGGTTTTTGTTATGCTAAAGCAGTACGTTCATTAGTATTAGACATCAATATTACCAGCAAAGTTTCTATAATTATCGTGTGATAACTTAAAAAGACTTAGGAGGTTTACTGACGTCACCAACTTGGTTATTTATACATCTAAATGGACAAAAGCCAATCGCTTAATCACTGAAACCCACACGTTTTAAGTATCTTATTACAAAAGTTTGAGAAGCTGCGATTTTTATTTGTAGCATAGACGTTGTTACAATACACAACTGTTGCTGTTAATATAAAAGCTATGTGATAGCACTTCAAGACCGAACCTATGCATTAGGTTGTTAAGCAAAAACTAGCCTCAAATAGTGTACATCCTGTGCATGTTTTACCTTCAGCCTTCGGGAGGATGTTCTTTTCTTGAGTCTGTGTGGGCTGAAGTGTACTTTTGTCAAACTCTTCTACTCCTGCAACCAAGTTTTGGTGCATCTTCTCTTGTTGAATGTCTAGAGTAAACACTCAGAGTGTCAAGCCATGTTCTACTCTACTTGCACACACTTCAGACCATGAAGCACTGATCTGGGTTTTACTCAAAACACTGACGCATGTAATTTAAGTAGGTTGTCCCATGTCAGGATTCCAAATATAAGCCTCTCTCTCTTTTTTAAATGGAATATTTTGGTGTTTCGTAAACGAACAAAGTATCAAAGCGTTTCGACAAATCTTAGGTTGTACATTCCATCAAAAATGATAAATGTTCATTTTTCTAACAGAACTATAATTTATAAAACTTAGAAGTAAGATTTATTGTAGATAAATATACGAAAAAATATTTCCATACTATTCAAACTTCGACTGCTTTAGAAATATATATATATATATATATATTGTAGAGTTATCATCGGAAGATTTTTTGATCAGCAGTAACTGCTTGGAGGTTTTTGACATAAGTAACGTTTCTCTCATCATAACTAGTACATTTTCTTGTCAAACACGAATTGTGTATAAAATCAAGGGGAAAAAGTTTTCTTCTTCACAGATTTTTGTTTGTTTTTCATGGTAATAAAGCTAGTACTGGTGTGGATAAGAAAGTATACGTTAGTAGGAAACAAGAATTTCGTTGTATAGGTTACTGGCTAGGTCACATTTAAAGTATTGTGTTCAGTCTCGGGCTCCTTACCTTAGGAAGGACATTTAATCATTTGAAAGAGTTCAGAGGAGAACTACTAGGGTGATATATTGGATAAAAAGGTTGTCACAGAGGACAAGTTAAGAACTCTTAAATGGTTTTATCTTGAAAAAAGAAGAGTTAAAGAAGATCTGATTGAAGTGTTTAAGATTCTCACGGGAATTGATAGTGCATGATCTTTCTAGCCGCAGCATAGTGGCTCATAAAATGGCTCTGAATACAAACTTTTAGCTCATAGCTCCGTCACCTCTTGACCGATTTGAGATATAATTACAGTTTTGGACTCGGGAGGTCAAACCCTTTCGATTGATATATTTGACCACGCCCAGGATCTTATAGATTAGTCTACTCTGATCCTACCTGAAAGAATTTCAATTTGAGGGTAGGCTAGTAAAGATCCTGATGAGTAATAAAATCAAATCGGGTATAGGCGCGCCCCACTCTTGGTATTGCTGGCGCACAAAAATATAGCTAATAAAAAAACAAACAATAAAGGTCTCATAGATTAATTTACTCTAATACTGCCTAAAATAATTTCAAGTGCCGCGGCTATTGAGGATTCCCTCTTATCTCATATTTAATGGTGAGATTGGTAAGTCTATGGGATAACAATATAAATTTTGGCAGTGCACGAATCATGTTCAGCTAAGAAAACTTTACTTTTCTAACAGTATAGTTGGTTTTTGGAGCGGGTTGCCTTCATGGTTGTTGGATGGAGTAAATTTAAGGGAGCTTAAGGGAAAGCTTGATAAATATTTGAATGAAGAGGACTGGCTTTGAATTTGTTTTTTAATTAATATTTAGTTTAATATAGAACGACCTTAATGGACCGAAATGTCACTTGTTGTCCTTCAATGTTATATTATGTTAAATAATCTGTATAGCAGTGTAAGAAAGAATTAAGTATTAAATATCTTAAATATCAATATATATATATTGTCCTTCAATGTTATATTATGTTAAATAATCTGTATAGCAGTGTAAGAAAGAATTAAGTATTAAATATATGGAATAGTATATATATATTGTCCTTCAATGTTATATTATGTTAAATAATCTGTATAGCAGTGTAAGAAAGAATTAAGTATTAAATATATGGAATAGTATATATATATATTGTCCTTCAATGTTATATTATGTTAAATAATCTGTATAGCAGTGTAAGAAAGAATTAAGTATTAAATATATGGAATAGTATATATATATATTGTCCTTCAATGTTATATTATGTTAAATAATCTGTATAGCAGTGTAAGAAAGAATTAAGTATTAAATATATGGAATAGTATATATTTTCCCAAGTAAAGGATATTTTACTAATGATCAAAAGATGGTCAGTGCGTGGATTTTGTTTAAAGTGATGTTACACAAATAATCATGCAGATATCAATCTTAACTAGTTCTATTAAAAATAAATATATAAACTATTAACATATCACTCAATTCGTCTTAAATAAGAAACTATTTTGCTACTCTGGTGGCAATGTCATTGATTAAAAAGAATATTTACAAATGCTATAATGCAAAATAAACTCGAAAATTGTAATGCGATATAACATTTACATTGTAAACTTTATAACAGTGGTTATTCGATCTTAATTTGAAAATCAATAGTCTATTTCTTTCACTGCGCTTAAAATATTTTATGGAATAGTCAGGAGAATCGATCAGCGATGGTGCAGATTTGTATTTAGAGAACTATATTTGTGAAATAAGTTGTGATAAAATATAAAATACTGGCAAGTTTAAAACTTTAGGTTAAGGCGCTTGACTCGCAATATGCGGGTCGCGTGATCGAACCCAGTCACAGAACATGCTAGCCCTTTAAGTTGTGTGGTGTTATAAAGTGACGTTCAATCTCACTATTCGTTGGTAAAGAGCATCCCAAGAACTGGCTGTGGGTGGTGGGATTAGCCACCTTCCTTCTAGTATATCACTTCAAGATTAGGAACAGTTGGCATAGATAGCCCTCGAGTAGCTTTGCGCGCAACTCAACAAACAAAAGTTTAGTCCATGTTCAGAATCTTTTTTTTTTGTCTTCTTTTTCATGTAATAATGCCCTTAGTCTAAAAAATATTGCATTTTCATTATAAGTAGTGGCAAGAAGACATGGAACGATTCACAGTAACTTCCTGTGTTTAATATAATTTTGGGCTTATTTTATCCTGGTCTGGTTTATTGTTTTCCCGACATTTTATCAGGTGTAAATCGATTTGTTTGATGGTAAACTCCTGTCTCTCCTTTTATATGAAAAAAAGGCTTAACTTTGGTTAACTTGTGCAGCAGTCAGTAAGTGAATGATATTTCACGAGTGTAGTGTATGATGCAGAATGTTTTGTATATTCTAACTGAATGAAAACTCCCATACAATTATCCATACGGTTATCCCTTACAATACTAAATATTTCTTATTATTTCTTACACAACTTTGTAGTTTACCGTTCTGAATTATAATATAACAACGAAGAGGAAAAAGCATATTTATTTATTTGTTTTTTACCCACTGAAGAAGTTCGATAATCCAGACGTCTGCTTCATCTCACACATTACCCTGTTTTTCGGTGTATAAGACGCACTTTTTTACCCCAAAATTTGATGTCAAAATCTCCTTGCTTCCTATACACTGAAGGTATGAATAATATATATATATATATATATATATACACGATATACACAAGCTATGTGTAAATATATTTAAATAGAAATGCATAGTTCAGTTCAATTGATTGTGTTATTTATAACAATAGTAGTTTTTTTTTCTTTTAAAAACATAACTATTTATAATGCTTCCTAGATAATAATAAGAAAAATATAATAATGGATGAGAGTGAAAAATCTTGTAAATATACGACGATCCCCGTTTAATGTGAAGCAGAATAAGGCCATTTCAGGCCTAACTTTAACAAATAAAAAATCGTTTTTGAGTGCTTGTCTTGGATTCAAATGTGCAATGCGCTTGACCAATCGGAGCGCTTATGCAATTAGCGTCGGTAATCGCTTAATCGGTATTTCAATTTTCATTTGATACTCGGCAGTCCGGCACATGCTTACTGTCAAGTTGGATGCGTCATCGAAAGCCGAAGTACCGTATCTTAGGCCTCGGGAGTAAAACAATTGTTTCTTCATTTTTCGTTCAATTTTTTTCTTCTCTTACGATGTCTGAAGAAAAGAAACTGTCATACACAGCTAAATTTAAATTAAGTGTGATTGATTATGCAAAAGAGCATGGAAACATAGCTGCCGAAAGATATTGTTACGTCTCGGTTCGTTAGTTAATTTTCCGTAAAAATTCTTTTCGATGAAGCTTTAGCGATACAAGTCCTTTCTTAAATAAAACTGGTTTATTCTTTCTGAATACAACTTTGCAATACACTTAATTTCCACAGTCGCGCTATAACAAACGCTATAATTCACAACGAACGTCACACGTGCTCGACTCAACAATATTCTCTCTCTCTGTCCGCAGTTCAATTACACAGCATTACATTGTTGCCGTCACGTCTTGACCGTCTTATATATAAAAGAATACCGAAATCTAGTAAACGCTAGAGCATTCAGGAACCTTCGAGAATATGACGTGTTACCAGAGTCACGTGACCCCCGCTGTCGTAACAATATTTTGGTCCTTCACCAACAGAAAAAATGATTCGTTGCTGGCGCAAACAAGAAGAAGAATTGAAAAATGATTAAAAGTGATAAACGCAATTTCCGAGGAAAAACAAAACAAAATGGCAAGTTTTCGAAAATAAACTGTACGAATGGGTTGTGGATCAGAGAAGGCAAGTACTATCCGTTTCTACAAATATGATAATTTTTAAAGCAAAGAGGATTGCATATGATAATAGTTTAGAATATTTTACTGGTCATACATCATGGATAACACGGTTCATGAAACGCAAAGTTATGAGAACTAAAACGAAAATTGCTCAAAGAATGCCCGATGAGTTTGAGATGAAAATTTATGCTTTTCACAAGTATATTATACAGTTAAGAAAAAAAAACTCTATTTGAATTGTCTCAAAGAGCAAACATGGATGAAACACCTTTAACATTTGATGTTCCAAGCAATAGAACAACTGATATAAAAGGTACTAAAACTATTACTGTTAAGACTACTGGACACGAAAAAACGCATTATACAGTGGTGCTAGCATGTTGTGCAGATGGAACAAAATTACCACCAATGTTACTTTGTAAAAGAAAAACAATGCCCAAAGAAAATTTACCCAGCGGTGTCTACGTTCACATACAAGAAAAAGGATGGATGGATGAAGACGGAACACTACTTTGGTTTGAAAAAATTTGGTCGAAACGTCC